GACAGCAACGCTCCAGTTACCGAACATCCAGCAAGCCTGAACTTATATAGCATGTGCATGTTGGTACTCCAGCTCCCCTTGAAGTTGAGAAGGCAGTATCGAACCTGAAACGATGCAAAGCAGCAAGACCTGACAGTTTGCCACCTGAAGTTTTCAAGACTGGAGGTAGGGAATTGCTGGTTAAAGTGATGGATGCACTAGGTGGTGTATGGCAATAAGAAGTAGTGTCGTCGGACTGGTCTACTTCACTGACCATCCCAGTTTATAAGAGGGGAGAGAAGTCTTCTTGTAAACCATCGGGAATTAGTTTGACTGATATTGTGTCCAAGATCCTGGGACCTATAGCTATGCAACGCATAACTGGAGCTCGAGAGGACCAAGCAGGTTTCAGACCTGGACAAGGGTGCATCGATCATATTTTCACCCTACCACGGGTCCATGAGAACAGGCGTACTTACTGGCGGCCAGCACTTGCTATATTTCTCGACCTGAAGACGGTATTCCACTCTGTTGACCGCGAAATGTTGTGGAAGTGTCCTATTGTGAAGGAAGTACCGAGGAAGTAAATAATGCTTATCAGACCTCTCTGCTCAAACTCACTCAACCATGTAAGGAAGGGGTTTATGGAGAATTGTCACGTGAATTGACGACAACAAGTGGTGTCCACCATGGATCCCCACTATCACCGTTCCTATTCAAACTCGTTATAAACCTACTAATCGACATTACCTTAGGTATATATAACTTCAGAAGGATTGATCTACTTCCTGAAAATCACCTGGTTCACAAGGAGTACGTAGACGATATTGTTCTGCTAGGTGAAGATGCTGACAAAATGTAGGTCCTCCGGACGCATTGAGCAGAAATCTCAGTATGTTTAACATGGGTTTCGCTGGTACTTGTCAAATGTGAGATGATGCTCCAGGATTTTTCTGCTGCAAGTACTTCCAATTTGCGGATAGGGAATGAAGTGGTGGAATGTGTCGACCAATCCACTTACTTGGGGAGTTGCAACAGCCCATCGAATGGGCTGGTTCTTGGCGAAATCTCAGCTCGGATACAGAAGATACATTTGGCATTTGTCGATCGGTAAGATATCCGACTATCCACTAAAGGATGAGTATACTGCACTCTAGTCCATTCTGTCTTGTTTTACGGCTGTGAGAGCTAGCCGTTAAAAGAAGAGGATGTTAAGCGATTGTAAGGTTCTCATTACAGGTCGCTTCGTAGCATTGTTCGCGTATGGTGGAATTACCGTGTGATCAATGTCGATCTCAAGTTAAGAGTACTAGACAAGACAGCCAAGTCGACTGATGAGGTTCTGAACCTTCATCGACTGAGATGGCATGAACATGTGTTGCGCATATCGATCCACCGACTACTTTAACGTGCATTGCTAGTGGAAATTGAATCAGGTTGAAAGATGGTTCAGTGTTGCCAGATTAAGACGTGGCACCAGATGTGGAATACCTGGTTGGGCTCCTGGAGGTGATAACAATCGGTGGTTGAGAACTCTTGGTGACATAGCTGGAAATCAGTTACAATAGCACTGATGTATACACTCTATGACGTCCTTGAGGGATCGAATATTTTCACTAAACGTTAACTTTATTCATTGTCTCACACAACCTTTTTTACTTTGATATCACTTTTTCTGCCCAAGATGTTTGCATACTACTATGGAGTGAGGGAATTTGAGCTGATGCATCTGTGCGCCAGGTTCTACGATGATTTGATCAGTTGCCAATCAGTCAACTTGAAGGGATACTTCGATACTGACTTTTGCTGTATTACAATATCATTACTTGGTAGTGTCTTTTAGTACAGTCTGGAATGTGTATTTCCTTAATTTTGAGACTACTCAGCGTTTACAAGTTAGTGTTGGGTGTCCCACTTGAACCTGAACTCAGCACTCACTGGTTCGGTCACCAACACTTACTGGTAAGCAGATAAGTTCAGTTGGGGGAGTCCTGAAGAGGATGAAACGCGCATCCTGAATTTCATTGGTTGGCGCCGGCAGGTAAATAACACTGAAAGCAACGAAGTTATCGTCCACTAAATGAGCTATTTTTCTCCACCAAAGACGAACTAAATTCTAACCAATCTCAGACACTGTTCTAGCTGAGATCGATAGCTATTTTTCACTGATATCACAATCACACTGAGACAAAATAAAAACACTGCGAACAACAATAATGAAGTTTCCAAAAGACATAGAAACTCTGAGAATCAATGTTTGTCAGTAGCAATAAAAACCTTTAAATAGACACATACATAAACAGAAAGAGAGAGCTAAGTAGTGCTTTTCGCATTGAATGACTTGCTTATTGTAGAGAATAAGATAACTCACACACATGCACACACACACACATTCACAATACTAAGTAACCTTACTGTTAGACTACTCACCCTTTAGAATTCGAACTGGGACAGAATGGGGGAATAAGGAAGAGAATTCGAAAACTAAATCACATCGGTGTATACATTTACATTGGCTCATGTCGATGGAAAGAAACCTGAAATACTATTCATAATATTATGGACATACAACAGATAAGTAATGTGTGTGTCAGATGCTAATGGGACAACAGCTGAAAATCGCAGTTTTGAATAGCTGTAGTACCTTATAGTACGCAACTATTGGAAAAGGAACTCTGCCAACTAATGAATATATTCTATCTAAGCTAAAAAAATATAACATCTTCGTATCACCATAGATAATAACTTCTGCGGTATGAATACTAAGATTCTCTTAGTTGGGTTTTACTAAGGCATAGTAATTAAGATCAAGTCCCGTTTGCATTTCAAGAATCAAATCAGAAGTAACTGAACCTCTGTTTCCCTGACGTAAACTTCCAAACGCTAGCCGTTGAGTCAAGAGTTGGAACATATTTAATTCTTTCAGGATAACTCAATCGTATCACATAAGCCCTCAAACTTTAAACAACAGCTGAGAAGGGCATAGGGATTTCAAGATCTCTGTGCGACAACTTACAGTAGTTGAACGAGGACTATTAGAAAGGAACCTTTTTCACAGGTTGATCGGTGTGTATGACTATCAAAACAGTCGATTCTAGAAACACTAATAGATGACTTGTGATCAGACGGCATATTGCGATCAATACCACAGACATCTAGTGGCAAGTAATACCTTTTAGCGTTTCATACGAACACATGAAGACAGGGTGATCAAAATTGTTATTGTAGAACAGGTTGCTACGATAGTGATATTAATTGACCAGGGTCCATGTTTCAGGAGTACAGAATTTTTATCCTGCTAGGAATTTCTGAGCTTCAAGAAGATAAGAACGATACTGTATTAGCCACAGACTAGTGACGTGACTGAAAGCAACAAAGGCCCACACAAGAAATGGCTGACCCCGAAGAGATGTAATCTGGAAACAGAAATTCCCTTGAAAATAGTAGTACATCACGTTTTAGCATGAAGAAAAGCAATGGAATCTGTGTAGTGGAAGGACGGCAGGAAACCATCACTTAGCGTACAATAAGACATGACAGCAGTAATATTGATGAAATATGACGAAACGGTAAACTCAACGGAACAAGCTATCACGAATGTGGACGATAACGAAAAAGCAGAAGTAAGAATACAGTTAGGAGAAGAAGTAGAAAATCTTCGAGATAAGAGATAAGGTGAAGTGTAGAGGACGAAACTAAGCAACAGGAGGTAAAACAGGATCGCCGAAGCTGCTTTGAAAGTCACAACGATTGCATGTAGTCACAGTGAGATCAAACCACAAGAACAGGGTGCAAAGATAAGTTGGCAAATGCTTCAGAAGTGCATAGAAAGCAACGAAAAGCAGAATTTGAAATATAGTTGAAGAGGACAGAAACAAGGCGATTATCTTGATTATAGATGAGATTTTACAACAATGAGATGAGTGCAATGTCTACTACACAGTAGAATGAGTACACAGTCAGACTTCATCTAAATATCAATTCATTTCATGCAATCTTGAGCCTTTGAGATGAAGCTGTTGTGCTATGAAAAGAAGCGAATTTGTTAGTGTTAAATCCTTATTCCCCTTAAAAGTATTGACAAGATTTGGCAGACTGAAAAAAGTAGCATTCACCCCTGGAAAATATCATCAGCTTCACTATACAAGAAAAATTCAATAGAAGAGATACCAGATGAGTAAAATGTTGAAATCAGCGACCACAAGAGGTGAAGGCATTTGCTGAATTGTGACCTACACCAGTTGTATAATAGGCATTAATAAAAAGATAGCATTTTTTTATACTGCTCAAAAACAAAACCTTAAATAGTACTCAGTTTTTCAAATTCATCATCATCAACTCTTAGCCTAACCCACAATTCCTTAATGTGTATCACATACATTTGTGAGAACTCAACATGATGTACATTTTCTAAGTACAACAGATTCCTAGGTAACAGGATTTCAACAGTTGATGAAGTAATGAGTCCTTATCAAACTGGGTGGCCAGGAGATGTGTGACACAGGCTTAATCACTGTCTACCCCGATGCCCAACATACATAAAGTAGGGAGTTAGGTATGAACAAAGCTGAAAACGGTATCAGCTCATAAAGTTTTTGACTGTTAATTTGAGTCTTGCATGAAGGTGAGGTTTTCTGCGAAAACAACCGACATTGACGGTTGCAGACTAAGTGATATAGCTGAAAATCGTTCTTAGTGGCACAGATGCAGCCATATCTCATCTACCTATCGTATCATATGTCGTTACTTGCTTTATTCTCTCTTTCTCTATCTTATTCCCTTCGTATGGCTTTCATGAAGTTGTGATCATTACTATTTCCATTCCCTTATCTGCCTTTTTGTCATACTCTATCTTGATAGACTTGTGTAACATATCATAAGTTGGACAGTTATGCAATGAACTAGACCCTATTTTGAAAATATCCGCTAATTTATCTGAAATTAATAAATATGTAACCTCAATATGAGTATGCAGTAATAGAGCCAAATCAGTTAAATAAAATGGATAATTATGAACTCACTCTGCAAACATTGATAAAAACCACTGTGAACGTTGATAACCCTTTTTTGGTGTATATGATTCAGTATTTTCCCAGTTTAAATTTTCTAAAGGAATAGTTACTTCTTGTGTGTCTGGTATACGCACAGATGACTCTTCAGCAATATCACTGGCTTGTGTATCATTCACAAAAATAAGTCGACCATTGCTTTCATTTAACCTATCGATTAATAGACGACTCAGTAAATATGTGTTAAAATAATTTACACCCAATTCATGCTCAAATCCATCATGCGTTAGACGACGTTCCCCAGCAATAATACTTTTAACACATGAGGGAGACTGTAAAATTACACAATCCAATCGATGAAAATCAGCCAAAACACCAGCTGCCAGTCTACGTACAGATGTCATACTATCATTTTCCAAGCGTCGACAGTCAATCATATCCGATTTGACACTGTATTTACGGACTAATCGCTGTTTAATTTCTTCGCATTGATTTAATTTATCATATGCCAGAATTAGGTACGCACCACGTCTGGCTAAATCATATAACAGTTCTCGAGATATCCTGGCTATTTTTAACGTGACAGATAAATAAGGAATGAACAGGTAAGAAAGAAGATGATTCAGTCTATGCGTTAAATACAATTGATGATCTAATTAATAATTAATTAGATACCAAATGTTCAAAATGATATTCCTTTTTTATGTGATTATAAGTTTTTAATATATTCACCTGGATAAATGTAAAAGAAACTGACTAGTCTCTTCATGCCTGATCATCTGTGTAATGATTTGATTTCTCTAAATATGAATACTTCTGTAAAGTGTCTCTTACGAAAGCGTAGTCTGAAATGCTGTCAAGGACCTTCAAATACCATGTCTCCACCTCGCCCCCTTTTAAGAAAGGAGAGCAGATTGAAGTTGGATGCCGATTTGAGAACCTGTAAGACCAGCCTGCTAGTTAATTTTAATGCTGCTTCGAGTGACAGTCAAAGCTGGTTTAAATCAAAGATGATAAACATTGCAGCACACCAGTTTCAAATTGTATTTCTTCGAATCGGAAACCGTCTATTGCTAATACACACTGAAGATTTCCACTGGAGGTTCAAAAGGACAGTGATATTCTTATTTTACATCGTGATAAGAGACAATATGCAACTCTCATGATTAAAGAACACCATATGAAAAAGGTGCATAGGATATCTACCTTCGGGTGAATAGTAATGTAAGTGTGGAAACAATGTGAATGATCAGATTTCATTTATAGAAATGAAAACAGAACAATACTCGAGACTATTCGAAGGAAAATACACTGATGAAAAATTTAGGTATATACAACTGATCGGTTCATAGATTACACATTTAGAAAAAACAAGCCAAGACGGGCATCGTCTATATTAGTAATGCCACCTTAACAAACCTTAAATATTTCCGTGGTTATGCAGAATGGTTCAGCCTTTACATTAATGCTTTGGAAAAGCATTCTATCTTTGAGTTTCAGCACTTTCTCAGAACGTTTACTGATTTTAACGGAACGATTAAGCATGTCACATAATTTGATATTATTTCTCTTTACACAAATTATTAGCCAGTTATTGAAAACATTGGTTCTATATGTACCGAGGTCGATAATACTTCTGTTTCATCGAGAAAACTCATCAAATGGTAATTTTTATGTGCTTGGAACGTTCAGTTCTTATATCACGACCCAAGACATAGCGTTGCGATGGGAAGTCCGATACGACTTCCACAACCTCATCCTAAATGGCTGTGATCACGATGAGGAGTGGAAACAACTTAGACGTACTTTGACTAAGAGTCTTCACAGTGACCAAAAGCAGCAGTTGGTGGCCAACTCGAAAGTGGGAGCGAATTCGAGTGAGAACGGAGGAGACATCAGTATTAGGTGATATTCGGTAACTATTCTGGCTTGTTGGGGAAAGTGGCGAAAAGACAATGGTTAGGCCATCACCGAAAAGGAGCGATCGTAGATATGACCTGTCAGGACAGGAGGGTACATTGTTGGGCTCAACACTTAGAAGAAGAAGGGGTGCAAATAGTATACAGCGACGCCTAAGTGCCCTGACGTGTGACACAGAAGTGAATAGGATGTAGGTGTTGGTACTCCTATTCTTCAGTAAGTAAAGAAGTCCATTTCGAAGCTAAAAAGATGTAAAGCAGCAGGAGTTGATGGTTTGACACTGAAGGCTTTTAGGGATGAAGATAGAAAATTGGTGGGTACAGTAGCTGAGATACCAGGTAGCAAAAAGGGGATTAGAGGTGATTACTTCAGACTTGTAGATGTCTGATCATTCCAGTTTATATGAAAGGAGAGAAGTCTTGGTGTGCCAACCTCTGAGTGATCAATTTGACTAACATCTCCAAGATCATACGGTCCACAGTTAGTTATCCGATGTATAATAATTGGTGCTCGAGAACAACGAAGTGGAGAAAAGTAAAGTTTCAGACCTTGATGAAGGTTTGTTGATCAAGTCTTCATCGTCCGGCAGGTTTTGGGATACAGGCATATTTAGCGGTGTCCGACACTTGTCATATTTGATGACGTAAAGGTAGAACTCGACTCTGTGGACTCTATCGAGGTATTGTGGTAGCCTGGCTGTGAAGCGGACATTGAGCAAGTATGTACTGGCTGGTAATGAAGACTGGCTACTAGAACTCATGCAGCCATGTAAGGGAGGGCCTGTGAAGTGGTTTAATGTTAACTGATGACAATTAATGGTATCCGTTAAAGAGTTCCACACCCACAGTTCTTGCTTAGTTGTATAGATGGACATAAGCATAGGCACATCTGACTTCATAGAATTTGACATACTTCCCCGATGGTAACTAGTTGCTGTGGAGTTCGCAGAAGACTCATTCATGTTAGGCTAAAACGCCACCAAAATGCAGCGTTTTCTGGATACCTGTTTAAAGCAAAAATCTGAGTATGTTTAGCACGCGTTTCCCACCTGTCAAATGTAGGATAATCGAGGCACCAGGACTGGTGTGCACTAACTCCTAGTTTAAGGATGTTGAGCAAAGTAGTAAAATGCATTGAGCAGCTCGGTTCACTCATTTGTTGACTTGCATCATGCTGAATATACTGGTCGCTGTTGAAATGTGAACTGAGATTGAAATGGTCCATTTGTTATTTGTCAATTTACGTGATTTGTGGCACTGGCGAAATTTCTGACTGCGTATTAGTAAAGGAAAAGTGCAGCGCGGAGTAGTCGGGTTTATCGTGTCATACGACTGTGAGAGATGTCCTATGAAAGTAGATGTGAAGAGATTTCAGGTTTGGGACCACAGCCGTCTTCACAGGATTATTCATGTGGTGGAATTAGTATGTGCGCAATAGTGAGGTTAGGTAATTATATAGTACTCGGCAGGTCACTTGGTGAGTTAATGAACCTGGAGTAATTGAGCTGACTTGGTGATGCGTTGCGCATGCTGATCCACCGCCTTCTTGGGTACAGAATGCCATCCGGAGTAAGATAAGGCTGTGAGAAAGTTTAGAGTGGTGAGAACAAGACGTGGTACCAATGCATGAAGTGAGTCGGGTATAGAGGTGTTAGCTGTGTACCTGAGGCCCAGGAAAGTAAATGAATCAATGGTTGGATACTTGTTGATATAGTTTAAAATCAGTGACAACGGCGTGATTGTATTTACATTTTGAGGTCTTTGAAAGCTTCGATATTTTCACTGAGCTTCATTTTCTAATTCCTTCTATTCCTGTTCACCTGAGTCTACTTTGATGTGAGTCCTTTGTTCAAATTTGTGTAACATGCTACTGTTAAGTGTGGAAACTTGGACCGATGCATTTCTATACGAGATTCTACGTTAATTTTGCCTGTATAGTTTTACAGAGATGGGATTCATATATGTCACTGTAAAACTGTTCTTGCTAAATCATTCAAAGGAGAGGCTCAAAACATCCGTCGACGAATTTGGGAACCAAATAGCTAAGCGTCAATAATTGAGTGGAACCAGACATCCATAATTCATAAGTTCAAAGGTAACATACTCAAACCTGAAGGTGATCGGTTTAATATTTGATTAGGAGTTAGTATAAAGAAGTAAATTCAAGAAAGATCTCAAAGTAGGATGATGCTAACGTTTATCGACTGTATATATAAAAACTATCATCAATTACTACTCTTGATAATATTCACAAAATAAAGAAATGAGAAGAATAAGACTTATCACTTACCATTTGGTTGAGTAATAAGCACTGTCTTATTCTGCATATCTCTTGTTGGTCCATTGTATTTAGGTATTGAAACAAATAGCTTGTAACCTAAAAGTCCTCCACCTGTAAGTGTAGAAAACAGCCCAAATGCCTTGAGAGCTGTTTTTACTGTAATCGGTTTTCGGGTTGGAGGCAATAGTCGACCCTGAAATATGACAGAAAATAAAAGATAGTGAAATTAGATTGAAACAAATACTAACCTGAGATATTTTATCAGGTAGAAAAGCCTCAACAAACAAGTACTAAGAATGCATTTGAATTGAAAATTTGAATTGCAGTCATCGACTGTGTGTACGTTCGTGCAGTAGGCAGTAAGCCACACCTATTGTGTGTGTTAATGATCCTACCTAGCTGTTCAAACCTTGGTAGGTGGAGCAGGACTCAAAATCATGACCCATTAGTTAAAGGTTACCACTGTAAACGAATGAACCACAGCTCTAAAAAAAAAATACACTTAATCGCTTAAGTGTGACACTGCATGTCGAATTTTAGAAACAGGTGGATAACTATCAAAGATTCAAAGTAGTTTTGATCGTGAATGGTTTTCATAGAATGAACTATCGGAGATCAAAAAGCCATGGTTCGGGTCTCCTGAGAAGTAAAAGTTCACGATATGACACAAGACTGAATCAGAACCACTACATGTCACTGGGAACACCTAGTCAGTGAGCTATTGATTTTGAATCCCATAGAGAATGAACCTACCCGAAAGATATTAAAGTTTCCACAAAAAACCAAATGGCTGATTATATCGTACAATAGATTATTTCGAACCAACATGTCCTCATCAAATTATAACTTATTTCTTTCCTTACTGAACATTTGGTGACAAATTTAAAACAAACCTGATGATGAGACACGGGTGACTTAAAAGGCCACCATATCAACTGAAAAAACATCCAATTACATTCCTCCGTTTTGTGGAAAAGTACTTTTTCAGGTGAAACACTGAAATCTGATTAGGCAATTAAGCAATAGCTAGGGTGGTCTTTAAAGTGACTCATGATGCCCTCGTCTATAGATATCAGAGCGCTTAAGGCACAAAACCTTTACCGTCACCATCCAACTACTTACATCAGCTATTGCAATTTGCATCGTCAGAAGTGTGTGAGACGTGATCATGATTTCAACCATTCTTAAAATTGTATATCTACTTTCAAGATTTGGTCCACTGGTGCGAAACCCCTGAACCTACCGACACCTCGCCAGTCAAATAATACCAAGCACAGTCTTCCTACACTTATGACACAGTCAAGGACGCGAATTCATACATCATTTTTTATGATTATTACTTGTCCCTTGGGTTCCTAGTGGAACATAGAACTTCAGTAGAACGTTGCCATTTCACTCTCTTCTCTCCAGTCTATTCAGCCTGGCTCCACCACTCCCAACAAGCTTTCACTTCTTCCTCACACGATCCCCCCATGGCACCCTCTCCACGAATGCCCAACTCGTTGTATCCTATTTGGGTTCTACTCGATGACCTGGTGCGTGATGTCCTCAAATGATCTCAGTGTGTCTCCAATCCAATCGAATCCATCTCCACTTCTTTCTGCATATTTGTTAGGCGATAAGTTCTTGGTTGGTTTGTTGCTAGCCAGCCAGCCAGCCAGCCAGCAGGCCAGAGTGAGTTCCTTCTTGCTCATTCTTATTATTCTGGCAATCCATCTGATCTTCAGTGTCAGTATCGAGAACGCCTAGGCAGCTGTTGATGCATGTTTATGGTTTGTTGGAAATGCTTTCGTAAGGCACCAAGTCTCTAAACCATATAGAAGCACTGACTTACTTGACTGAATCAGTGTCGAAAATCCGGATCTTGTTCACGCTTTATGCTGACTGGAGTGGAGTGGAGTGAAGTGGAGTGGAGGTAGATCTCCACACTGATTTCAGATTAATGAAGGAAGGCCTGTCTTACTCTGTTTCCAATCCTGGCTGCTTTGATGTCCTCATCTGTGGCTGTGCCACCTGTAGTTGAGACGATGCTGCCTAGGTAGGTGAAAGAGACTACTTCCTTTATATTTCTCCTGTTGATGGTAATTGGTGCTGGTTGTTTGTGCTGTTGGTGGTGGTGGTGGTGGTGTTGGTTGGGTATCTTGATCACCTGTGTCTTCTCTATGTTCACCTGAAGGAAGTCCCGTATTCGCTGCCCTGCCTCTTCTGTCAACTTGTTGGTTTTTGCCTGTAGTTTGCCTGTGTTTGTGCGACAAGAGATTAGACATAAGTCGTCATCGGCGGCGAAATCCAAATCTTCTTCTGGAGTCTTTTCATGGGTCCAGCCAGCATATGCCCATCTTCTCGCTCGTCACAGTTTGTTGCATGATCCAGCCCAGCCCACCCCAGTCCAGTCCAGTCCAGTCGACCACAATCAGCAAGATCATCGGTGATGATAGTAGGCGGCAACCTTGTCTTACTCCTATCTTCACTTCATTTCAAAGGCATCACTGAGCTTTCCATTGTGAATCACTTGTCATGTAGCATCATATGGCATATAGCTGTTGAATGAGGTTGATGAAGGTTTGTGGCACTGAACCGTAGTGCTGAAGCAGCTATGCAAGGCCTTTTCAAAGTCGATGAAGTTGAGGTGGAGTTGAGTTGACTGCCATTGTATGCTCTGTTCTATGATGATACGTAGTGTAGCGTTTCAATTTGATCGGCGCATGATTTGTTCTTCCTAAAACCAGCCAGCCAGCCAGCCAGCCTGCCCTGGTCGTAATTTTGAATGCAGAGCATTATCGTTGTAGTCTCTCTTTGGGATGATGCGGCTTAATATTTTGCTTGCTTGAGGTGGACAGCAGCATGATTCCTTGCCAGTTCTTGCAAAGGCTTAGGTCTCCCTCTCTTGTTTGAGAGTTTGACAAGGTAGCCCTTCTTCAAATCAGTTGGCAGGTACCTTTCCTTCCTTGATTCCCTGCAAACCTTCTGCAGTGGTGGTGTGTTGTGAGTATGTCCACTGCTGTTGTCTCTGCGTCTGTTTTCAATGCTTCTGGTGGAATTCCATCTGGTGGTGTTGCTTTCCTGGCTTATGGTGTTCAGGACTTCACTTCTGCTTTTATTATCGGAGTGTCTGTGTTGACTGATAGTTCTGTGGCTGGGCTGCTGGTGGTATTTCTAGACGAGTTGCAGGTGTTGTTGTTGTTGTTGTTGTTGTTGTTGTTGATAGTGTTGGTGTTGGTGGTCGATTCAAGAGTTTTTTTGAAGTGGTCAGCCCATCATTTCCTTTGTTGCTCCTCTTTGGTGACTAAGTTTCCTTCGCTATCTTTCATTGTTTTCATGTGAGTTGATCTCTTCCCGCCCAGATAGTAACCTGGTTATTTGATATAGTGTTGTCAGGTCTCTGTCTCTCTTACCTGCAGCCTGCAGATGCTTTAGTTGCTAGTGTGTCGCAGAAGTGTCTTTTGTCTTTGTGCTCACTCTTCTTCACTTCTTTGGCTGTTCAGTGTAGTAATTTATAGGTTGTACTCAGTTCCTCTTTTCGTTGTTCATCCCTGCAGTGCACTGGTTCATCTTCTGCTTCACCATATTCCTCTACCTCCTCTATCAGCTTCCATGTGTTCGTGGAGATACACTACTTGTCTCGTCTTGCTTCTTCTTCCTTCCTAACACACACGGTTATACAGGGATGTTATCTCAGGGATGTTGCCCCCACTTTTTCCTGATGACTGACATGAAGATGTCCTTTGTACTTTCGTCCTTCAGTTCACTTTCTGTCCTAGGTGGGTGTTGAACTTGAAGTGTGGTCTATCACCAGCTTCTTTGAAGGCTTTCAACTTGATTTTGAAGGTAGATTCCTTGTACTAGATAGTGAGTGGTATGAACCACCTATATCTGCTCCTCTTCTTCATCTGATCTTGTGTCCAGTAGGCTGGCTGCGTCTCCACTTCCTTCCGATTGAGATGAAGTCGATCTGATTTTCAGTGTAGTGTGTCCTGGTGTCTGGTGAAATCAACTGCATGTCGCTCGCTGCTTTGTAAATATTCTTGTGTTTGTACACACTGCCTGCAATCACCAAGTCATTGAAGGTATAGAATTCTGCAAACAGTTCTCCATTCTCATTCATCATTTCACCGAGTGCCTCTCGACGCATGGTGGGTTCTCTTCCTGTATTGTCTGCTCTCAGTTTGACATTCATGTCACCCATTAGAGTGAATTTTGATGTCTCCATCTGGGGTGGGGTCTTGTCTAGTACTGATTGCAGTTGTCGATAGAATTCCTCCCTCTTCTCTTGATCTGCATTATTTGTATGTGCTTAGCGTAGCGTTGAATGGTTGTGACTTTCCTTCCTTTTGAGTTGAATCTTGCTGACGTGATCCTGGAGGAGATTGGTTTCCACTACATGAGGGCATTCGATGCTGTGGGGCACATCATGATAGCCACTCGGAAACTCAATGTGCTCGTGATTGTCGTCTGGGTGACGATATCGGAGTAGATTATTGACTCTCGAGTTAACAGTTTGGAGAGTCCACTTCCATTGCATCTGGTTTTGCAGATTCCTAGCACTTCTATGTCCATATCTTCTCATTTCTTTTGCAATCTGAGAAGCCTTGCCAGCTTCAAGCATTGTGTGGACATTCCATGTCCGTATGCTTACTTTTGCTTTCATCGAGAGGGGGAAGTTACATCGGCCAATTAATTGGCTTTTCCAAGGCTTTCACCAATCGGAGTCATTTTGTCTCCCTGATTCGAGTGAGGAATAAGTTAAGTTTTATATTTTGTCTGTGCTTTTAAGTTTCTTTAGGGATTGGATTGGATTGGATTGGTTTTCTGGGGTAGGGTTGATAGCCCTATGCCCAACCTTCCCTCTTTTTCGGGCTTATGATCGGCTAGTAAACAGTGAACTAGGTACCTAGGTAAGGTTCATACATGATTGTTAAGTTTCATTGACCATTTCACTAGCTGATAGATGAAACTTACAGCTTATGAAGGATACTGCCCCAACACATTTTGGAAGCTTATCTTTAAGACAAAAGAATGTACGGTCGAACAAGCCATCGCCTTTATATCATCCACTGGAAAATGCAGATTAATCTAAGTCTACATACTGACTATGAACATCACTTATTTGCCTGATAACATACTCACATGTACGATAGCATCATGTCACTTATGAAATCAAAGCTCCTAAATATACGTTACCTTTTTTTCTTCAGACCTGTCTAGAAATCAATTTAAAAAATAATTAATTCCCGGGGTTAGTACACACAACCTACATTAAGATAGCAATAACGTCTGCCTAGTCGTTCAAAGACATTTTTTACACATTTTAAGGTAAGGTAAGTAAAAGAAAATTGATTCTTTAATTTAACTATCTGATTCAAGTAAGTTTTCACCAAATCATTTGAGTGCTTCCCTGTTACCATGTCGAATCACTAACAGTACTAATCGCTACACA